GTTTTCTCAACTTTTTCAACAAAATTCTCTATATCAAAATTGCTAGAAACCAAGGTTAAATAACAAAAAAATCTAACCTTAGATTCTTAGAATCCATGTTCTCAAACCATTTCAAGCAAAATCGCTCCCTCTAGAAAATTTTTCCCTACTCTTCTCTACACATCCACGGTAGCAAAGAAAAAGGAAAACAAGAGAAAATCTTGAAATCTCACTTTAGGAAACAAAGGTCAATCTTTGGTGACGCGATGCCTCAGTTACTCCGTCGATTTTTTTGGTCTAACTCACTTTTTCTCACATTGGAAGTTTTTTTTTTCCTCTCTATTATTCTTGGATGCTCTCTGGTTCTTTTCCACGTAATGGCCAATATATGCCTTACTTCCTCACTTGAACCAACTATCACAAAAGCAAGGACCAATTTTTGTAAACTTTGACTTTTCAAGCACCTTTTTGCCAAAAAAAACACAAATATATATTGCTTCCACAAAGAGTTGGCCGGCTGCCCTTCTTTGCTTTGTCCACTTGTTAAAATCTCATGCATCCAACCTTTTGTTACTTTAAATCTCAACTATTTATAATTTTATAATTATCCTATTTTGGTTCAGTTTAATTCCTATCTGGTACGCGTTTTATACGCATTTTTCGGATAGATGGTCAACTTAGTCAACCATGACCATTATTGACTAACTTTTTGAGGGCGACGTTTTGGTCGACTCTTTGTCAACAAATTTTGACTGGGTCAACTCAAATCAGTCGAAACCCTAATTTTCTTGGTTCGGCCTTCTGAACCCCTTTTTCGTCCATTTTTCGTTCCGATTGTTTATAAAACCATAGAATTGATCTCTTTCAATTTTTTTCCATTTCTTAAACTTATCATTCATGTGTTTACCCACTTGTGGGCTTAACACAACATTCCATACTTCTTTCTTAAATACAATCCGAAAATCGGTAACTGCATCGTAGTTCAGAAATTTTTGAACTTTAGCTTATAACTTGCTATTCCATACTTATATCAACAAATACTTATCATAAAAGTATTTATATTAATAGAAAGGATTCTAGAGAATATTATCCTATACAATAATTCCGATAAATTTCTCGATCATGACAAGGATGCTTTACAAAACTAAGTGGTTGATCTAAAGCAGCTGTCATTCGTGCAACTTCCATACGATCTACTTGTGGATCGTATTTCCAAGTGGTTAGACCACCGATTGCGCGATCAAAAGATAATTATGTTTGGCGGAGTTCGGATCCGCCAGATTGGCTAAGCTTTTGAAGACACTTTTCAGAGTGTCTTCTCAAGTGTGTGGTGCCATGAATTGTGTCACCTTATAATTTAGATAAACAATATTTACACTGAGCTATATAGTTAGTGTTACCTTCATTGTTGATCTCCTTAATTATCTCGAAGTGATCCCAAATTGTCGAGGTACGCTTGCATTTCCTCCTAGAGGTTGCAAAACTTGCAGACGCAGTCGCACTGGCACTCGCCGCTTCTCCACGCCCACCACCATTGCGACCATGACCTCCAGTACGTCCACCAGGGCTCGGATTAGTACATTCTTGCGTAACAAATTCATTAGTGGGAAATTGCCCTTCTTCCACGTCGGGAATACCACTATAACCAAAAGGATCCATTATAAAAAAAAAAAAAGAGCGATTTGAGAGAGAGAGCTTTAGGATAATGTGATAGTTTTTATAAAAATTGTAATAGAGATTTGAGAGATTGAGAGAGATTGAGAAAAATTGAGAGAGATTGAGAGAAATTGAGAGGGATTGAGAGAGTTTGATAGGGAAATGTGTGGGGGATGGGGGGTATTTATAGGGAAATTTTTGAGTTAAAAAATGGATTTTTTTTTATAAAAAATTCTGGGTGCTGTGGATCAAGTTGTGATTTTTAAGTGAAAAATCATTTAAACAACAACAAACTTGTAGGCGGAAATTTAAAAAAAAAATTTTCACATCTCTTTTAATTCCAAATTAAACGTAAATCACAACGAGAGATACATGCATGATATATGTTTATAGATAAAGGAATAAAATGACAATCATACCTTTAAGACGATCGGATCAAATATGGCCGCAAAGATCTTATCTCACTATCTCACGTTCCGAGATGGAGAATTACCGTGAAACAAGACCATTGATTTATGAACACGATCACACCACAAACCACTCGTTGATTCAAGACTATGACTCTAAGTGTTTTGGGATTAGAGAGTGGGCTCTTTTTCAAAAAACTTAAGGAAACAATTTCTTCTTATTTTGTTACAAAATCCGGCCACCCTAGGAAGAGAATGAGAGTGAGATATTTTTTCTCCTTAGCCTCCACTAGGGTTTTCAATAATATCTTTTTATAAGAGGAAATTTGAAAACTCAAACCCTTGATGGGATTTCTGAATTTTCCTTCCTCTTTATAATCAAAATCCGAATTCCCTCTTGCCTTAGGGATTTTTGAATTTTTCCTTCCCCTTTTATTGCCAAATCAAATCATGTTCAAATTCTACAATAATATCTTTTTATAAGAGGAAATTTGAAAACTCAAACCCTTGATGGGATTTCTGAATTTTCCTTCCTCTTTATAATCAAAATCCGAATTCCCTCTTGCCTTAGGGATTTTTGAATTTTTCCTTCCCCTTTTATTGCCAAATCAAATCATGTTCAAATTCTATTTTGAATTTTAAATTAATCACCATTAATTTCAAAATTCAAATTCATTCCTTTTATTTTTCAATTATCAAATAAATGAAAAATAACATAATGAATTTATTTAAACACAATTATGTAAATTTCACACTTATTAGAGCTAGCCTTGAGACCGAATGGACCCATATGAACAAAGCTATGGAATTACAATACTTGACTAATTTATCCTGATAAGTTATCGACGTATTTAATTATGACATCGTACGACTCCACTAAAGGTTCGATAGTGTGCCTAATCTGATTTAATTAATTGAGTTTAAATAATTCCAAGGTATTTAAATTATTCACAGTAATTTATTTAATCCAAAAGTGTGTATGGGCGCATTTCTGGATTGTTATATTTTACACATGTCATTTTCTTCTATTTTTCTTTTCTTTTCTTTTTCTTTTTCCTTTATTTTCCTTCCTTTTCTTTTTCTTTCCCGTGCGTTTCTCTCTC